TCTTCCAGATGGCACACACTGGTAGTTGAGGAATCTGGTTTCTGGTCCTCATGCCCCTCTAATCATAGAATGCTGCCCAGACTTGAAGTATTTTCTCTGAATTGCAGTTTTATCATCTGAAAAATGTAACTCTTAGAAACACATTTTCTAAATAACCTTCATACATGATTATAGCAAGCCTTATTTCTAAAGAATGTATTATTCCATAAGAGGTTTTCCTTAAAATTTAGCCCAGAATCATGAATACTTTATTGTGATAGAGAACCCTATCACACTAGTCTGAAATTTTATGAGAAGCTGTGATAATTGGACCTACTGTCTGGGTTAGATACTTCTCCTAAATGCATAAACTCCTAGATGCATAAAATACCAGAGCAGAAAGTTCTTAAAGATAATCTGGTCCAGGTCTCATCTCAGTTGCTGAATATGGAGCCCTGAATAAGAATGACTTGCCTAGGCTCACACAGCCAGGGCTCGTCAGAACTCTTTAATATTACTGTGTTGTGGTCATGATGCCTATAATGAAATGTGGACAGAAACAGTGTTTGTGGCTAGAAATGGATGTTGTACAGGCACACTGCTTCATTAATCAGGCAAGCCACTGCTTGTATAGGTGACAAAAGGCAAAGGCCCAGCTGCTGAGAGGCAGGTCAAGCAGCCCTCTTCCTTTCTCAGTTCCCATGACCCTCCTGATGAGAGGGTGGCAGCAGGGAACCAGATGGACCTTTACAGAAGAGTTCTAGTGGCAAGTGGAACCACGATGACTCTACCTCCCTGTATCATGTATACAGCAGGTGTTCCTCACACAATACCTCCCGTCTCTAACTTGACTAGACATCCCATTGTATTTACACTCAAGGTTCCACAGGAACAAATCTGTGTAAAATGTGACACCTGATCTTCTGTTGTCATCAATAATTCCTTCACCACCTACCTTTCCATTTATGAAGGTCCATCTCTCCACCTACCAGGCACGCCCTAAAACTTACTTAGAATGTCCCTTTAACTCCTAATCAGGGAGAGTCCTAAATGCCTGTCATCCTAGGCGGAAGAGAGGGGTGGCACCACATCTGCTGGGATGCCTGGTTACAGCTGAATCTATCTTCATATGGAGGCTTTCCTATAGACAGCAAACTGGTATGCAGGGGTCACTATAAACTTACCTTAGACTCAGTGGTCTAGAAGTAACAGTTACTCCCATTAAGAGAGTATTTCCTTCATGCCAGACACAATTCTAAGGGCTTTACGTGCTAACCTGTTTAATCTAGTTAACTCATGTACAAATGAGGAAATTGTAGCATAGATCAAAGAAGTACTCTACCCAAACTCACAGCTAGTAATGGTAGAGTTGTGTCTGCCCACAAGCTTGACTGCAAAGCCTGAGTTCTTACGCTCTGTGCCAGTTTTTCAAGCTGCAGGTTGAAACCCATTGGTGAGTAGTAAAATCAGTCTCTGAACCATCATTTTTTAATGTACAATAAGAGGAAACATCAGAGTGCATCACAGGTAAGTACTGTTTCATAAAACTTTGGAATTGTATACATATATATGTAATTTATATCTCAGGTCACAATGTAAAATTATTTCTTAGAGTAGGTCATGAAAAGGTTTACACCATGCTATGCTAACTCTGAGATAAGCTGACTTAACCTAGAGCCAGACAGGATTTGAACCTCAGCTCTCTAACTGGCTGTGTAGCTTGGGCAAGTTACCTAATCCATCTATAGCTCAACTTCCTCATTTATAAAATGGAAAGAATGTCAGGATTTAATAAATTAACAGATGTAAAGTGTGACCTCAGTGCCTAGCCTCATAGTCAGTTTTCCCTATTATTTAATTATAAATAGCCATACATCAAATATATTAAGTATATTGTCCTAACCAGTTTGGCTCAGTGGATAGAGCGTCGGTCTGCAGACTCAAGGGTTCCAGGTTCAATTCTAGTCAAGGGCATGTACCTTGGTTGCAGGCACATCCCCAGTAGGGGGCGTGCAGGAGGCAGCTGATCGATGTTACTCTCTCATTGTTGTTTCTGTCTATCCCTCTCCCTTCCTCTCTGTAAAAAATCAATAAAAATATATATCTATTAGAGGCCTGGTGCACAAAAATTTGTGCACTCGGGGGGAAGGGGGGTCCTTCAGCCCAGCTTGTGCCCTCTCGCAGTCTGGGACCCCTCGGGAGATGATGACCTGCTGGCTTAGGCCCGCTCCCGGGTGGCAGAGGGCAGGCCCAATCCCTAGGTGCAGCCCCTGGTCGGGCTCAGAGCAGGGCTGATTGGGGAGTTGGGGCGCCACCCAGCATGCACAGAGCAGGGCTGATCGGGAAGTTGCGATGCCACCCTCAGTCACACGCAGGGTAGGGCAGATTGGGGGGTTGGGGCACTGCCCCCGTCACACTCAAGGCATGGTCGATGGGCAGGTTGCGGCGCCACCCCGTCATGCACAGAGCAGGGCCCATCAGGAAGTTGGGGAGTCCCCCCTGTCACTCATAGCGCAGGGCTGAT